TTTATTTTTCTAGGATACCAACGTCAGTTAACCTACAAACACAAAGCTGGGTGTTACAGTGCGTTTGGAGAGAGTGACAAAGAGGGGAACACATGGTAAGTACATGTTATCATACATATTACACATTGGACCTTTATTCATTGATTCGATCTCCACATTAGACAGATTACATGGTTTATGCAAAATCACTACAGTAAGAGGATATTTTAGATTTCACAAGACAATAGAAATAACCATTAAATTGCTGATGTTAACTTCTCATGCCCATTCCACCATATTGCACCTCATCACCTTATTGGTCATAATTATTTTGTTACATCTACTGTTTGGTTATTCCCTCAAATGTAAAACCTGAAGAAGAGACTTAACTTGCAATATCTGTATAATTAAATGACCAATAAAGCTAACACAGTACAACTACTAACTTATTATTCTTAGCATTTATATTTTGACCATATACCACAGTGCTTAGCAGTTATACAAAAGGGATATTTGGCAACTAGCAATATACATGCACAAGACGTGCAAGAGAGACAAGAGGTGAAGAAGGCCCTGCTCAAATGGGCTAGCAATCTATGAGGAAAGTGTAAACACATACAGGAGGAAGAACAGCATATCAGAGCAGAGGAGGGATTGATGAATAAGATGCTTGTGTCAAAATAAGCTAGCAAAAGTGTCATATGGAAGAACCAAAGAGTGGCAGGAGAGAGAATGAGCTGGGCCTACGGAGGCGAGGAAACTGATGATGGCAGTAAAATGAGACAAATGCCATGCAGGAAGATGGTAAGCTTTCCTGAAAATGTAACTTGTCGTCATTCTCATCCTTTTAGGCTCACTGCATTCGTCCTTAAGAGCTTCACACAAGCCCAGGATTTTGTCTATATAGATGAGGAGCATGTAAATAATGGGATTAAATGGATGGAGAAACAGCAGAGATCAGATGGTTGTTTCAAGGCCACAGGACGTCTGTTAAACAATGCTCTGAAGGTGAGTCTGCTGTAAAATATCTGGTTTCTACATGTACAGTTTATGCAATAAAAATACTTATTGACAAGGCCAGTATCTGCAATAACCAAAGTCTTTATTTAGCAGAATATTTAGTGTGAATTCAGCCATTACTATAAGGCAGTATTCCACCTAAATATAGCAATTATTCAGAAGAGTATCCAGAGTAAACACGCCTGTTACTCAGATCAACAGTATCCAGACAATGTGTAGTTCCTCTGTGAAGTTGCCATCCAAAGCATGAGAAGTAAGTTAGAGGTTCTCCAAACAACTGTTTGCAACATTTGGTCTGTACATATGTAGACAGACAACACCATAACAAATACTAAGGAAATGGTACAGCAAATATATCTGACAAGTGAGATGTAACTATAGGGACAAGCTGTTCTTAAATCTGGACACAATTCTTTATTGTGTAGTACAGACCATTACTGAAAGGAAAATTAAAGGTGTACTCCAGGCACTTCACTGACTTGAAGTGGTCATGGAGCCTGGAGTCTATATGCGCAGCGTTTGTCTATGAAACGCGGCTGCATGTACAGAAATTAACCTCTCTTCTGCACAGAATTGCAATTACTGACTGAGCTGGGGCTCTCTTCCAATGAATGGCCAGAAGGATCGGCATCAGAATCTGCTGCCGTGCAGATGCACGATGCACATCATAGTCAATGTATTTATTTATTGTATGTCCTGCATTCAAATAATTTTAGGTATGAAAACCATAAAAAAAATCTTTCAATTGAAAGCACTCTTAAACCATTATAATAATTTGTTTTGTATACATTCATTTGTAAGTAATGTCGTTTTGCATTTATCAATCTTCGTATCTGAAAACCCTTGAATGCTGTACGTACAAACAAGAGAATACCTAAAGCATTATAACCAGCAGAAACGTTCTAAACAAATGATTGACACACGTGTGCATGTTAAATATCCAGTTTAGTACCATTATGATGATTTTGAATGCCCTGCATTTTACCCATTGATGTCATTCCTTCTAGGGGGGAGTTGATGATGAGGTTTCTCTCACAGGTTATGTCCTGGCTGCTTTGATGGAAAGTGGTATGTCTCCTGATGTAAGTATCCTGTTACTGAGGGATACATTTTTAAAACTGTCACTATTTACAGTTTAGCATAAAACAATCTCTAAAAGAATGTTCTATATATAATTTTACTCTTAAAATCAATATATCAGGACACGTTAAATAGTGAATCAAGCAATCTCTATGTGTAGCTAGAGGGGGACTGGGGGGCAATTTACCTGCATTATATCTGTGTGTTTTATTTAATCAGAATCCTATGGTGGAAAGAGGCATGAAATGTCTAAAAAATGCATCTCTAGAGGAGGCTAGCACCTACAAAATGGCTTTAATGGCCTACGCTTACACTTTGGCAGATCTTCCAGATGCCCGAGATGAACTTCTTCAGCAATTGGACAGTAAAGCAATAAAAGCAGGTATGATTCTTTAGTTTAGATCCAAGAATATATGTTACACTGGCAAATTCCTTTTTCTCACCTCTTCTTTGATATTATTAATTCCAAAAAGAGCATATTCTATTTCCTCATGTTATGTGCTAAGCCTTCTTTTCCACACTCCCATCAGTTCAGTGGTATAAGCAATAATCCCAACCCATGAGTTTGTTATCGTAACTTTGACCTCTCCTTCACAACTCAGAACCAATCTGTTGTCAAACTGGTCTTGCAATAATCATCTGAAAAATTATTACTTGCCTTCATTCTCTTCTACTAAAATAAGTGTTTTTTAACTCATTAATTACCATTTTGACTGCGGTTATTCATTCTTTATTGCTCTGCCTGTCTCTTATGCATAAATAAGCCAAGCTTAAGTTAATAATGAATGGTGCTGTGGGCATCTCGTCCTTATCCAGCAATCCTCAAACAAGCATTCTTAACCACCAAAAAAACATTATACCCAGTACATTAAATAGACCATTTCAATTCAATACCTAATAATTATGATAATAATAACAATAATCGTGATAATAATGATAATAATATAGGCATGGACACCTTTGTTTTCTATTTAGCACTCATCAGTACCATTTACGTACTTGTTAAAACATAATGCTGGCAGTTATGGAAGTAAATGTTCACCTTATGAAATCATCACTACAAGATAGTATAGGTGATGGGTTACGGAATTAAATTGCCATAGTTAAAGAAGTTCTGAACCAGCATGGTCTTTTAAGTAAAATCACTTGTTTGATAGAACCAAGATTTGACTACTGGACTATAGCCTTCTTGCATGAACTTCATGAAAACATAACCACACTTTTAACTTTGTGTTTTGTAGATGGTTCAACACACTGGACCCAGGCATCCAAAGCTGAACCAGATAGTTCCTGGTCCAAACCCAAGTCTGTGGATGTAGAATTGACATCATACGTTCTTCTGTCAAAGGCTTCAGCCAAACAAGTGTCTAAGAAGGAGCATGGAGAAATGGTGGCCATCATGCGATGGTTATCAAAACAGCAGAATGCCAACGGAGGATTCTGTTCCACTCAGGTAGCTCACACTAGGGCTGGGAATCTTAGAAAATTGCATTTATATTGGCAAGTAATATCTGCATGTAAAGATAAATGTGGTGAATATTTTTTATAGTAGTAATTTTGTTCGTCCAATTATTTGCCACTATATAATATCCACGGTGCCATGTGTCTTATACACAGCTAGTTGTAGTATAACACGTTTCGCTACCTGATTCTGTGATAGAAGGCAAAACAATAAAAACAAAAAAACGAAATATCTTGAGCTAGCTGTTTGAACACATTCATAGTCACATAATAATGAAATGTATGAGGGCTAAATCAAGCCATAG